TCTTTTGGCATTTTCTCAACCTGGTTTATTTATTTCCATGGTTTGGGATGGTGGTAGTAAAAATATCTTTATACTCATGACAAATATCACTTATTAATTTATTTTCTTCTTCGTTCATGTGGTCTAATTTTAATTTGGAAAGATTTCGTCTTAGTAGTGTATCTGTTTGGCTGTTATCTAAGGTATAATTTACGTTAATTTGGTATCTAAAGCTATAACATTGTACACGAAAATGTGAAGTTATTGTTAAAGAAATATGTTCCGATGTATAATTTGAATAACTGTGGTAGCAAAGCCTTTACTACGGTTAATTAATGCAGTAGACATCCTCACTCCTGTGACTTGTATTCTAAAATACCATCACCATCTAATAAATTTATGGGAAGTTTAACGAGTAACTCACTACGTAGTGGTATCTCGTAAATGTGAATCACAGGTGGCGAATAAATAATAGTAATATTCGCGTTTTTTGTATGTAAAATTAGTGATTCCATATCAATATTTCCATCCAATTGTTTTAATAATCGCTACTTATTAAGCCGTCATATCTACTGTCTACACTATATATTGTACATAAAACTCATGTACAGCTTTAGCAACATTAGGCGTAACGTTACACTGATCCCGGTATAGAAAACTTAATAAATTTATTTGTTCGGTGATCCCAGTTAAACCGTTGAAACGGCCGTTGGTATACAAAATTTTTGATAAACGAACTAACGACTGAGATTGTTGACGACTACTAGTGTGTCCCAGCACTAGCACACGGCGGTTTGAACACATCGTCATCGCGAATGTTTGTTAAGACTTCTCCCACTAGGCCAGCGACGTGCGCGACGTTAGCTGACATCAATTTAATAATATAGTTACCGTCACATTTTGTATCTGTCTCTTCAATTTACATCGAGTATCATTATATTAGAAACCAGCGCACTGTTTTATTCTACTGGCCCGAAGCTGGTCCTTCGAGCCAGATTCTTCAGAACATAAGCGTACCTACAAAGACACGAGATCAGAAAATTTTTTACCAGATTATTGTGGGCAAATTGGCGGTATCTGTAAGTTCGTTCCAATTTTTTCCAAGATAATTATAATTACATTATGCCACATCATGGTGTAGTGCGTGAAACAAGCTTAACGACCAAGTTAAGAGTTGTTTTGAAGCGTCTGTTGTGACTACATCTGGTAAATCATTTAATGATATTCAGAGTTGGCCCTATTAATTCGATTTCGACTACACAAATATGTGGTGACAGCGGACGTCGAAAAAATGTATCGCATGATAAGGGTGGCTGAAGAACAGCGCCCTCGACTACAAATACTATGGCGTTCTCAGCCATATGGCACCGGCCATATATGACAGTGTTTAATTTATTCATCAGCGCTTTTGTCTGAGGCGTTTGTTGTTATATAAGTTGTTTCGTTCTCCTCGAAGATTGGGCTTTTTTCCCTGACGTTCTGGAGCCACCATTGTTGAAGTGTCTTTGACGGGATTAGAAATGTATTTTTTCGGAGATCCTCGGGTAACAAATTAGCCGCTCTCTGAATCTCTCTGGAATGAAGTCTGCCGAATGGCACTATAAACGAAGCAAAATTTAGCTTGCCCAGCAAGTTTTTTGCTGATTTGGAGTTTGTAAACTCCATACCTGAACTTCTTAAGACGTCGTGCAGATCTCTCTCTAAAGAAGATATCTTTTTCTCCGGAAGTGACTTTATGTTGCACTTTGTATCCCATTTTATTCCCAGAAATTCATTCTATAGACTAAGAAGGGTTAGTTACTTGTCTGTATTGATTAACCATCCTAACTTTATTAAGAATTGTGTTGCTGCAATCGTATCCTCCTGTAATTTTACTGGATTTTGGTTGGTAAGTCGTCGAGGTAAACAATAATTCTGATCCCCACCTGTCTTAGGCATGACGCCAGTTAATTTGATATCCTTGCGAAGGTTAGGGGAGCAGTCGATAGGCCAAACGGAAGACATGAAAATTGCAGCACTCTGTCCTGATGGACTTTTGAGAGAAATCTTCGATGACAGGTGGCTACAGGAACGTGGAAGTAAGCCCCACAACGATCTATTTTTGCAAAATAATCTTCTTTCTGTAGAAACAGAGGTACTTTGAAATGGTTTATCAGTTGAAATTTCTTTGGAGACAAATATTCGTTTAAGCCTCTGAGGTTGATGTTTGGAACTGGAAACATAGTCGATAGGTAGCCAGACTTGAACGTTGTCCCTTCTAGAACTCCCTGATTTATGAGTGATTGAATTTCCAAATCCAATGTTGTTATCGAGAATTCTTTCCGGATTCCGGCTTGAAAAGGCATGAGTGGGGGTTGCTTCATGAAGGGAATGGGGTACCCTTTGATTATATTTAGAATACTTGATGGCGCCCCCACTGAAACCTATGCTTTTTTCTTGGTGTTTTCTGACCAACTAAATTCTTCCTCTGTATAGGCTGTAGGAGGGACCCATGGATTTGGAGACGAGACATCCGGCTAAGTAAACCCTATTTCGCCCTCTGATAGATCTTGCGACGCCATATCGTCTTCTGACCATGACCTTGAATAAGCAGGTTGGAAACTTTGAATGAACTGTTCCATCATGAGTTTCATCTCCTGTTGGTCTTTTTCAACTATTTCTAGGCGACTTGTTCTCTTGCTTTTTTCTGATGACTTGGTAGACGGCAAAGAAACTTCGTCTTCTGACTGATCGAAAAGTTTCCTGTTTGCTGCTTCTGCTCTTCAGAAGGGGCTTCATCAAGCAGCTAGAGACATGATCATGGGAGAGACATGGGGATGAATGATCCGCCCAACGCATAAAGGCCATTCTAAAGTTTTACTTTTATATTTCTGAAGGACTTCTCTGACAGGGAAGTACGTTCCCGGGAAAAAGTCTTGCCCAATTCCACAGTAGCTATTGCGAATCTTATGCTTTCATGCTTTATCAAGAACAAACGTAACCATAAGGGCAGTTACCCTTTAATTGGTTACTAGTTACTGGCACATCTTCATTGGTCATAGTATTTTGCTTTAACCAATCAGCATGGCTCTACGTTTGCAACAAATTCAATGACTGATATAAGTGTTGTAATTTTTTTAGGTTAGTTGCTTTTTCCATATTGCTAATTGTTGACGTGCTTACTCTGGATTTTCGTTTAACCTCCGCATTCTCATTGGATTGATGCTTGTTAATACCTGACCACCGTACTAGAAACTGGACTTTTGATTTTCTTAACGTGACCTTGGATTGAATTTGGCCATGTCTTCGAGAAACCTCTCTATAAAAGAGAGGAATCGTATCGTCGCATTACATGAAGAAAGAATGAATATTAGTAAAATATTCAGAGAGCTGGATTTGGCTGTAAGTGAAACTGGTCAAACATCACAGGTAAGTTCGTTTAACCATTAATTATACTACGGTGTTACATCCTTCGGATTCAGTATTCACTATGTAGATGTTTAGCGCACTAAGCGAAATAGATACTTAGATGAAGGAAATAGAAGAAATATATTATTAACTATCGTATTATATTTGAATGTAATCATTTTAATACGTATCTACTATATCCTAATTTAGGACAGGTGTACACAATCATGTTCTATAATTGATTTTAATCAAAAACAGTTTCTGCAAAATCGTTATCTACGTTTTTTAAGGTAATATCAATGCCACATTCAGCAAGGGCAGATTTTTTTCTTTTTGCTAATTGTTGCATGCACTGCTGGCCTTATGTATAGATTATAGATAGATATAAATATAGATTCTAGTAGTTAAAATCAATATTTCTGTATGTGAAAGGTATCCAAATTTGTTGGTAATTTCTAAATAGGATAGTAACCTTTTTGCAGGATATATTTAATATTTTTTAAGCGGAGGAAATGGGATCATAAGTCGTGGCATTGATTTTGCTGGAGCTGAAGTTTTTATGAGATAATCTACTACTATCTGAATATTCGTTCTGCTGGTTTTAATTTTTAACAAATGCATCAAGAACAGCGTCTGCACATGTTATGCAGTAGATAAGGCCAGCAAAGCTTTAAATTTTTTAATGATCTTTAATAAGGACAGTTCATGATTAGGATACCAATCTTCTAATAGGTTCAGAATTAAATTAGGGTTGTACTTTGGTCTCTAGATAAAGTTGGATTTGTTTTGAAAGCGCCCTTTAAAAAGCGCGACACTGTCTCGTCTTCTCTGAAGATTTGCCCAGTATTAGACCTAAAGCAGAACGAAATGAAATATTTTGTGAATAGATAAATAAACTGGCTCCTCGTAAAGTCAGAAAATTTCGAATTTTTTGAATATGAATACTATAAATGTCAATGTCATTTTCATTGCAATAATGCCACCACTTTTTAATTGAACAATTGTATTGGAATTTACTGATAAAGATGACATTATTATCTCCATTGTGTCATCTGACAAGCTCTGTTTTACAAAGGCTTCCCTAATAACTCTGCTTTACAGGGAAAGACGTGTTCTAGTTTATTATTAAGTCCTGGGTGTCTTGGAATGAAATTAAATGAAAATGTCTTTATTCGAGTAAGCTTGTTTCAAGCACTTTTGAATCATCTTCTATTTTTTTTTAATTTATCTATTAATTAATGACATTTTAATAAATCATGTCATTACCAAAATAGTACGTATTATAACAATAATAAATACAATTTTCAAAGTCTGTAGGACATTGGTTAATTTGGTTGGTATATATAATTAGTCGTTATAGAACAAAGCGAAGGCTATTCATTCCATGCATTGCGGTCCTTAAAATAATCATCAACTATATAATAGCCTTTACTCATAAGCTTATTGTATATCCTTTTGTAATGTTATTTGTGGTGGAAATAAATATTATTATTATTATGTTATTATGTGTAACTTTATTGAAAATAGTAATGCATTAATCCAGAAATGATCCTTTGGTTTTTGAAGTCTGAAGCTTGGAATTGCAAGTTTATTTTTATTTCTTGTGTTAAGATTATGACCACTATTTTTTTTTTGTGAAGGAATCGTAATGTTTTCTTGCGTACATAATATTTTCATAGATGTATTGAGAGGTAACAGTCAAAATATTTATTTCTTTAAATATTTCTCTGAGAGATTCCCTCGATCGTTAACTATATATAGCGCGGACAGCTCTATTTCGTAGAATAAAAATATCTTGAATGCTAGCTGTAAAACCCTACTGCAATAGGCCATACGTCATTAGACATTGAAAAAAAAAATAGTCAAGAGTCATTTTCTTAACAGCAACAGTTGCAAAAGTCAGTCTACTTGACAAGTTATCAATATGAAGATCCCATTGTAGTCGGGAATCTAGTGTAATACCGAGGAACTTTGTCGATTTTTCCACTCAAGTTTTTCACTATTTACATAAATAAGTGTACTAATATACGTCACATTAGGTAATGTAAGCTTTGAAGAGTTCAATTCTAGAAATCACTAAGTCACATTTTGACGTTTTTTAGTTGGCAACACTACTAGAATCAGTATTTTTTTCTCTATATTATGGTATATTCGGTTTACTCAAAAGAGATCTCTAAGTCTATTTTATACATAGAGATTTTATGTGTTGTTATAAACTTTCAATTCTAAAAATCACTATGTTTGAAAAAAATCTCTAAGTCACAACAAAACAATTTAAAAAATCACGTTAAAGAAACTTTTGGTAATTTTTAAGGCTATGAAAATTTAGTTACTGTTCTGGTTTCATAATTTATAGAGTTAAAATGCTTTATTTACGTACAGTTTAGTGCTTGACCCAGTTATTTATAACATAACGCACACGAGGATGTCTTCTTTGAAAAATAAACTGGAAAAGTAAGTACTTATTTACATGAATATTTTGATTATGTAACAAAATCAAAATAAGGCTGTAACGTCTTTTCATATCTTTGAAAATATTAAAACACGTATTAAATTTATTAATCTTTTTCAGACTAATTCGAGAGTCTGGCTTATTGGATGATGACGTAGAAAATGAAGAAAATACAAGGGATGAATATATTGTTACTGAGCATGAAAATATTAGTTCCGATTCCAAGTAAGTTATTTGCTACAATTGTTTTTATTACTATCCCACACTTTTGCATAAAGTAGGTAGGTAACTTATTTTAAAACATGTTATATTAGTTTGCCGATAGGTGCAGAAGATATAAACAGTGAAATGATCAATGACAATAATTATATTCCTGCTGTAAAGCATCAGAGGTTGGATTCTAAAACAGGAGAATTGGTCATTGAATTTGAATCCTCTGTGCACAGCTTGATTAATCCATATACAGGATTGTTGGAATTCTGTCAAGAAAACCCTGAACAAAATAAAAAATCCAGCCCTAAACCCAAAAAAGGAAAAAAGAGGCTACGCAAACCTGAAGAATGGGAGAAAAACAAAAAAGTTAAGTATAACCTTAGCCTTACCAAAATGTAGATGCAACTGTAAAAATTAATTAGCACAAAAAGAAGTAGAGTCAATACTCAATAGATTCGTCCATCTGTCATCGCATACAGAGCAAAATATATATCTACAAGGTTGCCTAAATGAAAGCGTACCTGTGCGTTCTCGACCAAGAAATAAAAATACTACCAGGCCTAGAAGATCTTTCAAATATAGTGTCTATACAAATAATATGCACATAGAAGTTTGTCAAAAGATTTTTCTTGCCATACATGGCATTAAACGGGACAGACTCCAAAATAAAGTGCAGCAACCAACTAAATCCATAATTGATGGAAGAGGTCGTCACAATAATCATAGATGCTTAGATGCTGACATTGTCTTAAAAGTACATGACTTCATTGAAACCTTGCCATCAAGAAAGTCTCACTACACAAGAAATAACAACAAACCTAAAAAATTTTTGGATTCCCACTTATCTATAAACAAACTTTACAACAAGTTTGTGTCTGAAGTTCATCCTGAATTGAAAACAAAAGTGTCATATGAGAAATTCAGACAAATTTTTAATCAAGATTTCAATATATCCTTCGGTTTCCCAAGAAAAGACATATGCCAGGTCTGTGAAAAACTGAACATGGACATAAAATCTGCTGAGATTTCTAAAGACACAAACAAACAAGACACGAAGTCTTGAATTACAAAAAGAATTGCATTTAAGAAAAGCACAAGTATTTTTTGATGCAATCAAAGCAGCAAGTCAACCAAAATCCAATACTTTGGCACTCTGTTTTGATTTTCAAAAAAATTTGCCACTGCCTGTCACCAATGTGTCAGTCGAATACTATTTGAGACAGTTGTGGCTGCACAATTTTGGAGTGCATAATTTAGGCGACAATAGTGCAACAATGTTTTTATTTACAGAAAATGTATGCCACAAGGGACCCAACGAAGTAAACACTGCTTTAAATTATTTCATTGAGAACAAGAAAACACCATCACAAAAACATTTGCACATTTTTTGTGACAATTGTTATAGCCAAAACAAAAATCGATTTTTGTTTACTTTTTTAGACCAGCTATGTGCAACAAATATTTTTGAAACAATTAAAATAACATATCCCATGCCTGGACACAGTATGATGCCAATCGATAGAGATTTCGCATTAATAGAAAAGCAACGTTTAAAACACGATAAAATACATGGCCCTGACTATTATTTGGATCTTATAGAAAACTGTAAGAAAACTAATAAGTTTGAGATTGTTTTCTTGGAGAAATCATTAAGAAAAGATATTTCCTCGAATCCAGTATTAAAAGTAAAAATTACAATTTTTTTATGGAAGATATATTAAATCTTCTGTACCAGGAATATCTCTATGTCGTAGAGTCAGATTTAGAAGACACAAAAAATGTGAGATAGGAAATTTAATGTCTGGAGATGATTTTAAATCAGTATCCTTGTACAAGACAGGAATTAAGTGAGTTATAAATGACACTCCACAAGACTGTTACAGCTCCCAATTAAAGATTAAAAAACCCAAAGTACAAGACATGAAGAGCCTTATCCGATTTATCCCAGAAGGTGAGAGAAATTTTTATCAGGACATAATTGATTTCAATGAAGATAATTCTGCAGATGATAGTATGGAAATGGCTAATTCAGGAGATGAAGTTGAGTAAATTATGATTTTCCCATTTCATTTCCTGACTTAATTAAATGGAAGAAAATAGTTTTAAGTTTTAATTTTTTAAACAACAAGGACTGACATTTTGTTTGATGATTCTTACAAAAAATTTAGTTTGATAAAAAAACTTGATGAAAAATATCTGATAACATGATTTTGTTTATTCTCTTAGGTTTCATTTTCTTTTAAACTTAATTCGATTATTTATAAGTTAATTTTGTGAATTTAATTTTAAATTAAATTAGTAAAAATCCCTAAGTGCAATAAAAACAATATACAAATCTCTAAGTTCACGACTTTGAAGCTAAGTCCACTGACTTCTTTATTTTTTAATTAAAGAATAAACATTATTAGGAGCTTGTTTTATAGGTTACATAAATAAACATGTCTTAGTGTCTACAATGAGTCTTTTATTTATTTATTTTGAGAAAACATGTAATTTATAATGCAAAAACAAAGTTTAAAATCTTGATTCCCAGAAAACAGGTTTTGTGACTTAGTGATTTCTAGAATTGGACTCTTCTTATGCAATTCGTTTTTTTTTAAATTGAGCAGCATTTTCATCGTCAATATAATCATTAGCCCTCTAAACTTTAAACACTAAAGAGGTGTCATCTGCAAATAATACCGTCTCGCACAAATTCTTTGAAAAGTGAGGAAGATCATTAATGAAAGTTATCGGGTATAAGGTATGTATCCATAAATTCCCGTTTTTGTTCCTTTGTTAGCCTCTCAACCAGAACACGACCCCAACGTTTAGCGATCTCGTCCGGTATCTTAGGTCCAAATAGCTCATCTTTTCCATTTGAATCTCCTATTGCTTCTAGAATCTCTGGCGGAAGGCATAATAAATCTGTAGTTTTACTAAAAGCCGAATATTTTGGCATATTTCCATCACTATAAGTAGGGTTTTTTATTGTTTCACTATCAGTAGTAGTATCAAACCTAGTTTTGATACTACTATATTATTATCACTCACGTGAGCTGTAGATCTATTTCCTTCAGAGTCATAGACTATAGGGACGCTAGCAGGAGACATTGAATCCCTTTTTGGTGATTCATAATGCCATATTATTTACTTTTAAGTCACTGATCGTACGCTCGTTACGACGCTGGACTAATATTTATATTAAATTAAAAAGTACTTTAATATTTAAAAGTACTTTAACAGTAATATTTTTATTCTCAAATATTCAGATGCAATACACTTAAATTCTATTGAGTCAGATGGATGTTATTTACACGTCAGATCAAGAAGAACATTTATTTTTATTAGATAATCTTTAAATCATCGAACACAAGAACATTAAATTAAATTGACCGAAAATAAACTTAAATTTACTAAAAGCGCCATCTCTTGGTGGTTTTCCAAATAAAACATAAGGACATAAACTGAATATTATACTAAATTCATTAACTGTTGATAATTCACTCTTGTTTATTCAGAAAGATTGATATTGATACGACATATCCTTAAAACTACTTTGTTTCTATTACATTACCTTTATATTTCTCGTAAACATATTAACATCATGTCATTTACGTATTTAAGGCGCCATCTTTTGATGTAAACCATCAAAAAGTTATAGGTTTTTTAATTTTAACCTAATCAATAGGTATATTATTTAACTTTTAAAATGATTTATTTGTCTATTGATTGACTTAGAAACTTTTACAAATCACAATAAAAACCGACTTTCTTAAAGTTGAGTTTTTTTTGCTTCAACAATATACAGCGTGTTTGGTAATACCTGTATAATCCCGAATATGGCACATACGGTATGATGAATAGAACCCAGAAAAATGATCACTAAGACTAAAACCCAGCACATGACCTAGATATTCAGCTTTTTTTCTTCGAAGTAAAACTGTACGCTGACAACCCTAAAAACAGCTGTTGTGTTGTATTTGGTTATCGACTCCATGTGCCGAACTAGTTTAAAAAATAACAGAAGTTAAATAAATCTAAAGATAAATGCCTAGAATAAATATGGCCCAAAAAAAGTGCAAACAAAAAGTTACCAGTAATAGCTGGGAAATCAATTTCAACGGAAGAGGCAGACCAACTTATGAAAAGCACAAGGCAATTTCTACAAATAAAAATCATAAATATTCAGATTTGAACACAATAAGCTCGACGTTCGTTCTCTAATTCCCGGTTTCAATAACCAAAAAACTATCCGTTTTGCTGACCTGAACAGCTGGAGATTCGAAGTAAGGCCATATAGACCACCAGTTAAACCATGTCTGAAATGTTTAAGGTATGGACATATTGCTAAATTTTGTAAAAACCCGACTCAATGTTCTTTCTATATGCAGTGAATCACATAATTATAAGGAATGCCATAAGTCCTCATAGAATGCCCCTATTAAAAAACAAAAAATAGAAGAAAACAGAAATAAATTACAGACTAGAACATATGCAAATGTTGCTACTATTAATGAAAAGTCTTTCCCTCCCCTAATTCAGCAATACATCAAATTCTCATATAATGCTTAACATTACAGTAGAATCAGTTATAAAATTAATAAGTTTTAATAAAAACAATGACAAATCTATTAGTACCCAAAACATAAAAGAAGTACTTATGGAAACAATGAAAAATAAAAAGATTTAGTTTGTGCCCCTTATGGATACTTTGAATGTTGTACAATGGAATGCCCAAAGTATTTTAGTCATAGACATCTTTTATCTCACTTCTTACATGAAAATCAAGTACATATAGCCATTATTTATGAAACCTGGCTTATGCCTACACAATACATTACATTTAAAAATTATAGTATTATCAGACTTGATTGTGGTGACAATCACAATGGTGTAGCTATACATAATACCTTAAAGTTTAAAAACATATCTTCTTATTATAATAACTCCCTTCAAAACCTTGTTACACGTCCTCAGTATGCAATTGACAAAGAAATTACGATTGTTAGTTTTTATAGTCCTCCTAATAGTAACCCACCATTAACAAAAAAATAAATTAGAAAATCTGTGCAAATCATTTCCACATCCTGCTTTCATTGCAGGCGATTTCAATGCGCTACACACAGCTTGGGGTTGTGATCAGTGTAATTCTCGTGACAATGATTTAATTAGCTGTATCCAGGATAATAATTTTGTTTTATTGAACGATGGTCAGTATACTACAGTTGGTTCGCATGTTTGGCGTCGCCATGCTCTAGATTTAACCATAGTATCTCCAAGTTTGGCTTTACAGTGTGAATGGAGTGTTCATGATGACCCTTTGGGTAGTTTTCATTTACCTGTAATAACAAAAATGCAGGGTTCTTCAGAGAAAAGGGTCTGCGAGTTCTGGTGTACCTGGACGACTTCTTGTTCGCACATCAAGACCCTTGTGTATTGGAAAACCAAATGAATTATGCTGTAAGTCTCCTTCAAAGTCTGGGCTGGCACATAAACTTCGACAAATCAGTCCTGCAAGCAAGAAAAGAATTAGAATTCTTAGGGATCAAATGGGATATGGTCAAAAACGAGGCAAGACTTCCCGAGGAAAAGGTAATTCGTTTGCTGAAAGAATTGAGGAGGGTGTTACAGGAAGGTCAATGGTCGTGGCAGATAGGTACCTCCCTAATAGGACGACTAGGATTTGCAGCCTTAGTGGTTCCTTTAGGTCGTTTACATACAAGAAATATGCAACGGGCCGGGCTGAGACTTCGGCAAAGTCACCCCAACCGGTTGCTAGCCCTTCCTCCTCAAGCCGCGAACGACTGTCGTTGGTGGATTCTCAACGTGAGAAAAACAGGCAAGATCTTTATCCCAGAACCCACAATATTTGTAACGACCGACGCATCCGATGTCGGCTGGGGTGTTCAAATCGGGAATCGCCATTTATTCGGGAAATGGACGGAAGATCAATCACTGTGGCACATAAACAAAAAGGAACTGTTTGCTGTATACATTGCTCTGAAGGAATGCCGAAATACTGTGGCAAATCAATCAGTTATGGTACAATCCGACAACAGGACCGTGATCTCGTATTTAAGAAATCAGGGAGGTACACGGTCTGTAACCTTACTGGAAGAAACCCGAAGGATTCTGCTACTAGCGGAAGCCCTGAACGTGACAGTCCATTCCTTTTATCTGCCAGGCCGTTACAACACTATCGCCGATTGCTTATCGAGAGAGAAGAACCTTCCAGATTGGCACGTCTTAGACGTGATCACGAAGAGGATATTTTTAAAATGGGGACGCCCCCAAATAGACCTTTTTGCCACCAGCCGTTCGAGAGTAGTTCCGGTGTACGCTTCGATAGAGGCTTGGGACACTCAAGCAGCATTCATCAACGCATTCAGCCAGACTTGGCGGTTCAGACTGGCGTGGGTCTTTCCTCCTCCACCCCTGATACCCAGAGTGCTTCGACATCTCAACCAATGTCTAGGAACTTACCTACTGATGGTGCCACGATGGGAAACTGCGTTTTGGAGAGGCGATCTGAAGCGGAGGGCTCTAGAAGCCCCCATTCGGATACTCGATGTCAGCAAGTATGTGATCGACCTATCCACCGGCTGCCCCCCGCCGAAAGTGGAGGAGTTCTCTTTCGAGGTTTGGAGAGTACGGGGTGGAGTGAGCTTGTAGAGGGCTTAGAGCCGAATGTCATCGAACTGGTCCAGTCAGCATGGCGAGATTCTACGTGGCGCACGTACGCATCGGCCTGGAAACAATGGGTCTCGTGGTGCAGACAAAATGGCAAAAGTCCTGGTAGTCCTCGACCTCAAGATGTAGCCGCCTATTTAGGATTTCTGTTACGGGTAAAAAATCGGGCAGTTTCGACAATTTTAGTCCATAAATCAGTGATTTTGACCTTGGCTGACCCCACACACGAAATGCAGCTAGCAGCTCATCCATTAGTCTCAGCAATAGTCAGAGCTATTAGCATCAGACAGTATACTTCATCTTCACTTAGACCACAAATTTGGAATGTACGGTCGGCCAAGAAAGTGGTCTACCAGTTTTGACAACATTTCCCGTGTCTTTAAAGCATCGCTAAAGGCGAATCTTAGAATTGCATACAAACAATAAAAGAGATGCACAATGCTGACGTGTTGTCGTAGAGCACAAATGTTATTTTGACCTTTGCAGCCTATGCATTAGATAATAATTTGCAACAACAAATAGTCTTCACAATATTTCATAAATTTAAAATTTAAGTAGGTCACTTCAAAGTGGAAACTATTTTGTTACGAAAACTCTTTTACTGAAAAAGAATATATCACTTGACAATTCATGTCAAATATTTTCTCGGCATTTTCCGTAGGTATTTTCCTAATTAATTTACACTACAATGCCCCGAAATTTATCCATTAACGAAAGAGCACAAATAATCGCATTACACAATGATGGTTTGAATATTAGTGAGATTTCTAGAGAATTAAATGTGTCGGTAAGTATTATTATGTCTGACGTGAGTTTAATGTAAAATCTCAGACCAAGTCCGAGTGTAAATTTTTTTTTTATTTTTTCTGTTCATATTTTATTTTTGATTATAGAGACAAGCTGTCCGTCTTTGGATAAGACGAGAAAGCGAGGAGGGGAATTTGAACGCTCGGAGTCGTAGCGGTCGTAGACCTGAAATATCAGATACTCAGCGAGTCTTCATGAGACGGAGTTATGAGGAATCTGGCTTTATACCAACGCGTTATTTTGCCGACATATTTGACGTGACTCTCCAAACCATTAGAAACCATTTACATTACATGGGCTTACATCACAGGCGTTATGCAAAGAAAATTTATATGACTGACGCTCATAGAATGGCCAGATTAAATTTCGCCATAGAATATTTGGATTTTGATTGGAGTAACACTGTTTTCTGTGACGAGAAAACTTTTAAATCCAGTCAACACGGGCGTCTACACCTTTGGCGATTCAATAAAACGCGATACACGCAAAATCATGTCGTGCCAAATAGAGAATCGGGTCGTATCTCGGTAAATTTGTATGGATGGATGACTGCTGATGGTGTTGGAGACTTGACCTTTTTGCCACCACGAGCAACGGCATCAGATTATGTTGATGTTCTCCAAAATGCTATGTTGCCATCCGTCCGGAACGTTTATCCAGAAAATGAAATGCGTCA